TATTTATAATTAATACAAAAAGATATTTTTATGAGAATATTTTTAATATTTAATTTTGTATACTTTTTATTAAATTTTTGTATTATAATTTTTATTTACGAAATTTGATTTTTATTACTTTTGTAACGGTTGAACTGATACGACAACATTTTCTAATAATTGCAATAGCTACGAAAAAATATCGCAAGGAATTGCTTGTAACACATATTGATCAATAGAACACCCCTTAGCTTCGTCCACTATCCTGTAACCCCACTATAATTTCCACATTCTTAATTCTCACTTCAATAATCCGTTAGTCCGCTGGTCACCCTCCACTCCTACTTAATGCAAATGGATCTCAATACACGTAACTAATCTTTACTCTTATTGTGTCAACGTTCACCTATCTTGGGATTCGCTCATCTTGGATTATCTTCCTTTTCCATTTTTTAGCTATTTTCCCTTCATTTGAACTTTTCCTCATAAATCTGTTAATTTTTTAACAACTCATGACGAAACTACATGGGGCATATTTTATAATATACTATCTCTATTCTATAATAAAATATTCATTTATTATTTACATTATTATAATTAATATTAAAAATATTTTTAAATTTGTATATTTTTCATCCTAAGATTATAAGATGTTAATAGAAATATTTTTGTCATTTTTTTTATTTGTAATATGTTTTGATAGGCATCGGCTCTGCTGTCCCACTGGTATTGCTGTCCCACATGTCTCTCCAATTAGAGAAAAACACGTAGCGATTATTTTATTTTATTGTTTTATTAAAATAAGTAAATTAAATAAAAAATTTTAGTATTTAATTGCATATTGGTCCTCCATTTTAGATCTGAATTTTTTTTTCTTTTAAGAATTTTGACGATTCGCGCCGTCCTTCCCTCTATTTTTTCCAATCTTTCTCATTTCTTCCATCTCCAGCCTTCGTTGGATTTCCCTGCCCGCAGAAGTTGTCAAATAGAGCATTTCTTCTCGCCGGACAGTCGCCCGCCAAAATTGCCAAACAACCCCTTCTCACCGAGCAGCCGCCCTCGTGATCGGCCGCATTTCATTTCTTCACACTTCCCTCCGAGTTGAGTCCTCGTTGGCATCGTCCCATTTTCTAGGTATAAGTTGTTATTTTTGGGCTACTCTCAATATTTGAAATAGCTATTTTAAAATTATTTATGCAAATTGGATTTGGAGTTTCAACATTATGCTTATTTTTAGATAAATCGACTTAAATTTGAAAGTAGTTGTTGTGGGCTGATTTGTGTAGATTTTTTTGTTTGTAAATCAATGGAAATTTGGTTGTAGTTTTTGTGGTTTTTTTTTTTTTTAGATTGCTAGTTCACAACATGAGATTTTGTCTGCGATTAAACAAATAAATCGTGATTCACTTTACAAGTATGGAAATTGATGAATTTGGGATGACTATACCTTCGTCATCCCATGGATTAGATTTCACAAATACAGAAAATAAGTCTGAATGTGTTGATGTTGATAGAACAACGACAATGAGAAATCCTAAAATTGGAATGGTATTTGATAAAGAGGAAGAAACCTACCAGTATTACATAGCTTATGCTAAAGAAATAGGTTTTGGAATCAAAAGGCACAAGATGCATAAAGATAAAAAAGGTAATATAACATCCAGAATATTTGCTTGTAGTGCTAAAGGGAAGCGAGAAGAGGATAAGAGAAGAGAAAATGTGAAAGCTCCACGGCCAATGACAAGATTTAGTTGCATGGCTAGAATAAAAATTTGTTTGAGAGGGAATTCAAAATATGAAGTTGTTGAGTTCATTTCAGAACATACACATCATCTTACAAGTCCTCAGAAAAAGCCATATGTTTCGGTCGCATAGGAGGATTATTGATGCTCATGTGGCTCAAATTGAGATGGCAGAATGTGTGGGACTTACCCCAAAAGCCTCGCATGATCTCATGGTTAAAGAAGCTGGCGGCCGTGACAACTTAGGATTTCCGAGATAAGATCATAAGAATTATTTGCGTACGAAAAGAACAAAAGATATAAAAGTTGGAGATACCGGTGGAGTGCTTGAGTATTTGCAAGAAATGCAAAGTAAAGATCCAAATTCTTCATATTCCATTCAATTGGACGAGGATGACATGATAACTAATATATTTTGGGCAAACAGTAGAATGAAAGCAAATTATGCTGATTTCGAAGATGTTGTGAGTTTCGACACAACATACAGAAAGAATAGAGAAAGTCGGCCTTTTGCATTATTTGTTGGTGTCAATCACCATAGACAAACAATAATTTTTGGTGCTTCACTTTTATACGATGAAATCATTCCTTCATTTGAATGGCTTTTTTATACGTTTGCAAGTACCATGGGTGGAAAAAAGCCTACCACTATTCTTACAGATCAAGATCATGCAATGGCGAATTCATTGACTACAAGATGGCCCAAGACTTGTCACAGGTTATGTACTTGGCATATATATTGAAATACTACAATACATTTGGGTGGGATATTTGAAAAATATAATGATTTTGCACATGATTTTGGGAGGTGCATTTATGACTGTGAAGAAGATGATGAATTTCTACACGAATGAAATAAAATGTTGGTGAAGTATGATATATTAGAGAATGAATGATTGAAGATATTGTTTAGAGTAAAAGAGAAATGGGCTTTGGTTTATGGACGTGAATTTTTCTGTACTGATATTACTACGACACAACGTAGTGAGGGTATTAATAGTGTCATCAAAAAGTATGTAAGTTCTAAGAACCCTTTGCGAGTATTTTTCGAACGGTTTGAAAATTTGCTTGAATCTCGCCGATACGAAGAGTTGAAGGCTGATTTCAAGGCACGTACAAGTGCTCCAGTCATTCGTATACCCGTTCAAATCTTGAAACATGCTGCAGGTGTGTATACACCTGAAGTTTTTAAGGGTTTTCAAAAAGAATTGTGGAAGGCTTATGATTGTGCGATGGTTCTTGTTGGCACAGAAGAAACAATAGAAGTATATAAGGTCAGTTATTTGGGAAGATCAAAGAATCATATTGTGAAATTGAACTCCTCAAATGAAATTGTTTCTTGTAGCTGCAAGAAGTTTGAATTTGGCGTATGTGCTCATGCGTTGAAAGTACTCACAAATAATAATGCTTTCAAGATTCCAGAGAAATATGTGATGAGAAGATGGACAAAATCGGCTAAAATGGGAAGGTGGTTCTATTGGAACAAGATGGAGATGATCCAAAGAAAATGGCATGCACGAGGTTTAAGGATTTGAGTTTATTTTTCAACAAATTGGTCACAAGGGCTGCAGAAATTAAAGAAATGTATGAGTTGGTAAAAGTATCGTTGTTGAAGACTAATGAGAAGGTGAATGAATATTTACACAACAAAAATGTTATGGGCGAGGAATCATATGTGAGAGATACGCAATCAAGCCTAAGGGTTAGAGGGTCTTCGGAGAAAGAAGACAACATACATGTGAGGGGTATAAAGACAAAAGCAAGAATGCGCTTTAGTAGAAGACTGAAAAGTGGATTGAAAAATCATTCTAGGAAAAAAATTCAAAATGAGGTACAAGGAACAATATTTTTAGTTGATAGAAAATTGAACTAATTGTATTTCTATATAGTTGCTTTATTTTACTTTATAGTAATATGAATATATTATTTCCTATGCAGTCACTTACAAATAAACCATTTGTTAAAGAACAGAACATTGCATTCAGGTGGGATCAAACAACCCCACAATAGTTTACTTTTTTTTTTTTTTTAACATTGATTTGAATCTTATATTTAATTTTTTATAGTTCTGATTTGTTTTTCTAATTCATATTTTTAACTATAGATTGAAACACCTAATTCAATGCCAAACATATATTCTCAATGTCCCGAAGACTCAAATTATGCTAGGAATTTCACACAATTACTTGAGGTATTATTTATATTACACATCGTAGTTTAATGAAATAAATTGTTGTATTTTTACTTGAATACTAACACCTACATTTATACAGGTTCAGTCATCGCGTAATTATAGATCTTTTGGCGACACGTAATAGTTTGGAATGAAACTTGCTTCATTGTGATAGCTCTAAGTATTATCTTTATTTCCAGAGTGACATGATTGTATATTCAAAATATTCCTGAACTTCTTTTACGAAGTTTTCCATGTGATTAACGATTTATTTTATTCCGTTCGCTCAGGTTTTTGCAAAGAAGGGTAAAAAATGATCAATATCTAGAAACATGATAAGGTGAGAACTAACAAGTTCAAATTGACAGCATGTTATTTTTTATGTTGAATGATGTTTAGTTTAACAATAGTTTTATGAAATGCTATTTGTGCTTGGGAGATTGCATCATCTATAATTTTATTGGATTCTACTAACTTAACTTCTTGTATGAGGATATTAAGTAATGTCAATTTGTTGGAATAAATAAATTAGTCTAGCTTGGTTTTAATATTTGTTACCGACGAAATTTAGTGAAATTTTCTTTGGTTTAAATAATGTTTAGTGTAGTTAATAAATAGTTTTATGGGATGTCATTTGTGCATTAGCTGACTATATTTTGTCTTTTTTTTATTTTTTTTATTTGGAGAGCGTTGTTATCAACAGCAGATTAATACATCTTGGATTGGTCGGTTGGACTCACCTTTCGAATTTTGTTTATGAACCATGTCTTTGAGTTGTTGTCTTTGCTGCAATTTTAAGTATAGTATATTTTGTAGATGATTGTGATATTTCAGTGCTTTTTTTTAGTTGCTGCAATTATATATATATAATCATTTTCAGTTTTTTTGATTTGATGTTTCTTTAATTTTTCTTGTCTGTGATAGAGAATGATTATGGTCTCCTATGTTTCAAACAATAACATCTATTTAAATCTTTCATTTCATTTAGTTATTGTTGTTTCTCTATTGCCAAATTTAAAAATAAAAAATAAAAATTGCAAAATCTTATGTAAAACAGACAATAAATTTGAAAACAAAGAATATGATAGCAAATTAATATGCTTTATGTATAAATCTCAAACAACATCATCATATTCCTCAAAAAATACATGGTGTGTAATTACAACATTACAACTTAAAATACAATACAACTTTACATTTGGTTAAACATGTATCTATTTTTGGAATATTAAACTAAACAACAAATAATCAACTAATTGCTAAGTAATCACAACCTCAAAGGCCGAGTTTTTTTTAACAAATGATTAAACACACATCTATTATTTATGAACATTCGTGTCTTCCGGCACTGGGGTTAGGCTTTGTATGTACTCTGAAGAGTTATCTTTCATTTGGTTCATCTTGGGATTTTCATTTTTCTAAATCTTGTGTGCTCAATTTGCTTTCAGTCTCTTTTCTGTTGCTTTCACTAAGCTTCAATCCATTCGGTCTTTGCTTTCAGTCTCTTTTCTGTTGCTTTTCTTCGTACGTTCTACAAACACCTTTATCAGTTTCCATAATTTCTTGCACATAGTTGATTAGGAAAATGCTAAGATAACAATTGGTACATCTTCTGGTTTGTCAAGATAAGGCAGTTTGGTGTTCACCCAAAAGAATTATATAGAATCCTGCAGATCATTATACTTGTGAGCAAAATCAGATTTACACAAACTATAAACATATAAGCATACAATGAACTTCAAGCTTTCATCTTATAAACTTAACCACACAAAAGCAATTCTAGACATAAAATGGCTACATTTTATGGCTACAATAATCACCTCCCAAAAAAAAAATTAGATTGTACTGCCCATCGGATAATAGCAACATTATGTAACACAATGAACCGAGTGATAGCACTATAAAAATTCTTCAACCACTTTGCTATTCAATTCCTCAATCTCAATGCAACAAACTTTTTTGAATAGATCCTCCAAACTCTATTTATTTTGTTTTTCCAATTTATCTTAGCCATTGTATGAAAAACATATGTTCCTATGTGCGTAGCTCCCATCAAAATACAAAACTTTCATAGTATGATCCAAAACCTTTTTTTACTCTTGACAAGAAATATCTAACAAATCACACATTTAGATCCACAACAAGCCAAGTATATGTTTCAGTTTTAATTGAATAATATATAAGACAATGCAAAAGAATGTTAAGACTACTTTAAAGGAGCCTTTTAACCTTTAATTCTTTCAAGTCTTAACAATCCTAAATGTCTAAATCCAAACAAGATTTTTCCGGTTTCTACCTTTCACATACCATCACACCTTGAAAGCACTTGATGAGTCACATGATTGCAGTCCTGTCAAAACTTATCTGTGAGCTTTTCGACTAAGAATCCTCTACCAAAACCAGACCAATCAATCCATTAATAAAGAGTAAAATAAAAACTTCAAAATTGAATTGATGGACAAAAAGATGAGAATCACCACTAAATCATTTAAAAGTCTCAAATGAACGAAATATGCACTGAGAAGATCACTGGCAGATTTATTGTAAACATCCATTTATTTCATATTAGTACAAATAACAATAAAATCTAAAACCCTACATCAACAAAATATTATTGAATTGAAAATTCTCAAAAGAACAACAATTGACACCCTGCAAATAAATCAATCTGTGTATTTGGGGAATAAGAGGAGGGCGACGGCGACGGATCTGGAAGACGATAAATCCTAAATTAACTAAAAATATAAATCCTCTGTATACCTGGGAAGAAGTGGCCTTGATAGCGGGGAGACTGCACGACGACGGGATTGTGTGACAACGTGTGAAGAAGATGAAGGCTAAGCAACGACGCATCGTCTGGGCGAGAAAGTGAATACTGGACGACAGCGGGCTGGTTGGGCGATGACAAAATGATTTTCTTCAAAGGATTTACGAGCAGAGGAGAGGAAATGCACAAAAAAAAAAAAAAAAAAAAAAAAAAGGAGGAGAAATGGACCTGTTTGTAATTTCATAAAGTTTGATAATTTTACTTTAAAAATTAAAATATAAAAAAAAAAAAAAAAAACAAAATAATGGCTACTTGTTTTTCTCTCGTTGGAGAGACACTTGGGACAGCAACATCGGCGCTATAGCACAGTAATTAATATTCAAATATCAAAACTTATAAATAAATAAATATTTAGTTAGGAGACATAAATTTTTGAACTATCCCGTCCCTCTCTCCTACACACCTTTTAAATTTTTATTATAATCTATTTCTTTTTTAAATTATATTATAAAAAAATAAAAAAGTATTAAAAGTATGGTATACCAAAAAATTTTGGTATAAAAAAATTTCTATTTAATTTTTTTATTAGTGAAAATATCGAAATTTCAGTATATCAAAACTTTTGGTATGGTGTAATATCAGATCAATTTTTTTTAGTATGTGAATAAAATATAGTTTGATATTTTTCAGTATATACTTAAATAATATCGGTATTTTAGTATTCGATATATCAAAATATATCAATAATTCAATATATTGATACATTATTTTGAATTTGAAGTATTTGAGCATGAAATAATATATCTCGATATTGTACTGAAATAAAATTCGATATAGTGTCAGTATATACATTTGTCGTACCAATTCTTATTCGGTTGTTCGAATATTTAGTTCCATATCGATACAATTCTTTTAAAAAGGGAATTCTCTTATCGGTGTAACAGACCTCGAAACGAATTTAGCAACTGACTGACCACACAAGCATGTACATGTGTACAGTCACATGCAAATGGAGAGACGGCATCCGCATCAATTTTCAGATATATATGCTGTGTAGGGGGAGGGGGAGGGGGAGGGGGGGCGTTTGCTTAAAGTGAATGCCAAAGTGCAAAAGTGAAAGTAAAAGTAAAAGGAACTAGTCATTAAATCAAAAGCGGTGGGTAGGCTGACATTATAAAGATTTATATCTGTGATAAAGTAGTGTTAAATCTGTGAAGAAGCAATTAAGCAATCCATATTCCTCCACCCATCCACCTACCTATATAAATATTTATATATGTCAATGACAATGGAACTTCCTTCCTTCCGTACAGATCACTAATTATACTCTATATTATTGGTTCATGTCTCTGTGTGTGTGTGTGTGTGGTGCCTGCTCGCTCATTTGCTCGTCCATCCAATAAATTTACAAACAATGGCAGTGGCTGCTGCTGCTGGAAGACGACATCATGTATCAGTAGTGTCGTGTATCCTCCTCCTCCTACTCGTGAGTTTTATTCTGTCAGAATCACAAGAGGACGACAAGGTGGTTGTATCTGTGTACTACGAAGCTCTGTGCCCATACTGTGCCAACTTCATTGTGAAACATCTCGTCAAGATTTTCCAGACAGATCTCATCAACATTGTCAACCTCAGACTTGTCCCCTGGGGAAACACACACATCACCATTAACAATACGTGGATTTGTCAGCATGGTGTTGATGAGTGTCGTCTCGATGTTGTGGAAGCTTGCGCCATAAATCTCCTTCCTACTCTGGTAACCTTTTTAATATAGCAAAAGACTTGTTAATAATGAACTGCACCCTCCATCTGCATCCAATACGTTCGTTTCATCATCATCATCATCATCATCTATGTGTTTTTGTTCCAAACTAAGCTAGCTAATCAAACTTATTAATAATATATTAATGTTTGGCATGGGGTGCAGCAATCACAATTTGAGTTCATATATTGCGTAGAGCGCTTGCATTTGATGAACAAGCACGCCCAGACCCAGTGGCCCTCTTGTTTCCAACCCGACCACGCTACTGTTCTTCAAAGCTGCTACAACACTGCACTCGGCTTTCAGGTCCACTCTTACTTACTAACTACTTAATTACATCAACTTTTTTTATCCAGTATATTTTTTTCGTCCACTTAATAAGTTTCTATTTATTTTTGCATCTTATATTTAAAATTAAAAATATTTTTATTTTTGTATAGTAAAATTATACAAATATTCATTATATTTGTATTATAAAACAGTAAAATATTTTAATATAATAATTAATATTAAAAATTAACAAAATTAAACTTTGAAAATAGACGAAGAGGTTATTAATTATTGGCGGCTAACACTATTTTAGTTAGTACTGTACTGATTTTATCCCAATATTTAGATTAAAGATTTATTAGGTTGGATGGTCCACAAGTAATGAGGGTAGATTTGTAATTTTCTAAGAGAGGAAGAAAATTAGTATGCGGAAGTAAAAAGCCTATGAGTGGTGTTATTTATATACTACTTATGTGATATTTTATTTATTAAATTTTCTATTTATATTATAAAATATAAATAATATTATTTGTTTAATAAAAGTAATAAATAATATATTAATATGAAAATATAATGTTAATGATCTCATATAAAATAAATAAATTATATACTCCGTCTTTCTTTTCTTTTGAAATGAGTTATTTGGAGTTTTGTGCAGATATATGTTTCATGAAGAATTTAATAATAAAAAATATGCATATGCTATTAATATACTATCTCCGTCCGGTTCTAAGGGTTCAATTTATTTTTTGCATGTTAATATTTGAATATTAATTATTATATGAAAACGTAATCCAAAAATAGAAAATGACAAAAATATTTCTATTAGTGTCTTATAATACTATTATAATGATATTTTTGCGAAAAATTATACAAATATAAGGATATTTTTAATGTTAAGTACAATAACGTAAAAGGTAAATGAGACTCTTAGAGCCAAAGGACTATTACTCATGTGATATTTTATTTATTAGAAGTGGTGTTTATATTATAAATTTTACTTCCTCCATCTCAAACATAGTGCAACATTTGTTTTCAACACAAAAATTTAGGTTGGTAATACTAAATAAGATAATTTGAAAATAAAGTGATATGATGAGAGAGAAAAATATATAACTATTTGAGTAATATGATGAGATAAAATGTTTGGGGTAAGAATTAAATATAATTAATTATTTTTTATTTTAGAAATGTTACAAAATATTTGAGACATAAAAGAAAATAAAATTGAAGGATATTTGGGGAGATGAAAGAATTATTTGTTTAATAAAATTAATAAATTATATATCAATGTGAAATATAATTATAAATCTTTTATTGACACACACAAAAAGAATAAGGTCAGGTAATACAATGTTGCTATTTTTAAGGTTTGTACTTTTTTTTATTATTAGATAAATAAATTATTAAATTATATTTTTTTATTATATTTTATCATTTCTATTGTGTGTGTGTGTGTTTTTTTTTCATTTTATTTATGTATTCGCTTGAATATAGTTCTGCTGAATAACTTAGAAAGGTGATTAAACTCCAAAGACAATCAACACGCTCCTCTAAACATGTCGTGCTCATGCCATTGTTTACGGCTATGTTTAGAATATGGTCGAATTGCAATCGGTGCTATGAAATAACCATGTTTCTGCCCATGTTTATAACTATGTTTTTAAAATGACCATGCTTTAAGCATGTTAATGACCTATTTACTTCTCTGTTCAATCGGCATGGCCGTGTTCAGTCACTGTCTGCTACTATATGATTAAAATTTGTAAAATTTAATTTGACTGAGATCAAAATTAATAATAATAAAAAAAATTAATGGGATCAAAATTAATAATTGTAATATAGAATGTGTCAAAAACAAGTTTTTCCTTAATATTAATTACATTACATTACATACAGCTTGAGAAGGCATACAGTGATGAAACAACCAATCTCCAACCTCCACACAGATTCGTGCCATGGGTGCTTGTCAATGGCTATCCTCTTCAAGAAGTCAGTCAGTTCAATCCCTATAATATATATATATATATATATGCACAACACACTTCATTATATTCCTTATTGCTTGATTCCCAAAATTAATATTAATTAATTAATTAATAATAACATGTTACTTACAGGATTTTCTGAATTTCGCAAGTTATGTTTGCAATGCTTACCGAGGATACAACATACCAGATACTTGCAAGTCATCAACTTCATCAAATCTTCCAATTAATTAATCTTACAATACCTGTTTGCAATTGCATCAGTCCCCTAGCCTAAAAGGGGATGAGGAGTGAGAAGCAGAAACAAAAAATGCAAATAAGTAGTAGTAGTAAGTGAATGTTTGCAGGTTAGCTAGCCCGCTAACTAATGACATTAACTTATATTTAGCCATATTTACACAGTGATACTAATTATTTATTTTTTTTCTAACGAAAATAATTTGTTTCTAGCTTCCACTACACCACATGGATGTATATTACATATATACTTTAGTCATTCAAATACTACGGAAAATATGTCAATTTCTAGTGGAATTGAATTCGCTAAAAATGCTTATTTTTTGTGACAAAAAGTTATTTGTGACGATTTTGTTGTAGATTGTAGTCGGTAGGTTTACTTGTAACAAAAAGTGTGTGTCGCCATAAATATTGTAACAAAAAATAGTGGTCAATGCTAGTGGGAAGACTTTTTGTTACGATATTTTATATGTGACAATAAGTAGAAATTTTTAGTAACAAATGATACGGTGCAAAAGTTTTCTAACAGTTATAATATCTTTTCGTACTGATTTAGTTACAGTTTCTTGTTTGTGACAAAAATAAAAATCTGTCTATAATGAAGCATATTCGTAATAAATAATATATTTTGAATGTTTTTTCACATTCGTAATATCTTTTTGTAATTATTTTTGTAACATCGTTTTGTGACAAAAAATAAATAACTTGTCCGTTAAAATAACTTTTTATTATGACCCTAAGATACAATTATAATGATTTTTGTGACATCTATTTTGTGATAATTAACATACAACTTTTTTCCATATTTCCTACGAAATCCATGATAATACCTATAAAACGAAAATGATCCAACCACAGTCTAAGAAATCTCATAATCAGTTACACTAATAATCATGCCAACTATGCACGAAAGGACTGCAAAAAGAGTAAACAAGCCGAAATTATATATTTATGTGCAAAATGATCATCTAGTAAGCCTAAAAAACGTCATAATTATACGTAAAATGCTCAATTCAGTATAAAAAAAATATATAAGGCCAGTCCAAGTTCAAATATATACATGGTGCACGGATGCTCATGCAACAACAAAAATACGGTGGATAAACTCAGGTGTGGCGAACCAGCTATAATGAATAAGTAAGTTATTTAATTACAAAATGAATAAATTATTACAAAAAATAAACGTTTAAAGATAAATTTACATTTATCTTTGTATGTCCACTCAATGGGATCGATATGGACTACTTTGCTAAGGGTACGTGCTCCAGTAATTGTTAGCAGAATAAGTGCAAACTCCAGAACTGTGACAGCCGTGAAAAAGACCTTAACTAGTGCTACGATATCACCTACATACATATACAAAAAACATGTTCATTTCAATGAACAATTTCGAAAAAACAAATAATAATAATAATAAAAGGAACAGTTGATAGTGGTTTATACAAAACAAAGATGGTTGGATATGTTTCACAAATGCCATGCCGGAAAAGGAGAAAACTTTCCTTTACTTAACAAATACTATAGATAAATATATATATATAAAGCATATAGAACTAAAAGCTATACCCCAAAATCCCATCAAGTTTATGTCCGAATCATCTACTAATTATCCATATAATTAACGATGTAACAAAATCAAAACATAACATTGCATTTTCCGTCGGCAGTAATCAACCCTAAGCTTTTCTAAGAATATAGAATAATATATTGAAATCCCGACACATTTATGGAATATTCACAATTTAAATTAACAAGCATTTACAACACCCACAATATCAATGAAATCCAAGATCCACTAACAATAAGCTTAGGAAACACCATACAACAATCAAAAGCACTGCACATAAAATTTACCGAAAAATACTGCATTACACTTAATCCAAACACAGCCTACTGAATGAATAAATTCTTAATGAAACAAGTTTTATGAACATAAAAATAAAGTAATCCTAGAAAGCAAGCAGAAATCAAACACACGAACAATGGGAAAAAACATCAATCTAATTACACAATAGATAAACATGTGTTAGAGCCCCACATTTATAAAAACAACAAGTATGCATCATGTATTATGCAAACACTTGAAATTTGATAGCTCTTACGTATTAAATTTGCGAATGAACCTGGGTTAGGGGCAGACAACATGATCCCCTCCCTAATATATTTTTCCAAGCCACGTGACATCAAAAGAACATGAGACGCGATCTACATGAGAGTGTTTGCAACTATAAGAACATTCTAACCCTCTTTTAATGTGGTTAATTCCCTATAAATACTTAATATCCTAAGTATGGTGCTCAACCACTATAATTATCGGATTGTCATGAACTTCAATTACTCATTTAAAGGCAATAAATGAGAAATGCGTAACTTACAAAAGTTATTAGTGAAAAGTAGGCACTAGTGAAAGTATGGTACTCTAAAGTAGGTGATCTCCAAAGATATTATAGCCCCCTATGCATCTTCAAGCACAAATTGCGATATTGCGGTGGATCATTCCCATTAGAGAATAAAAAATATAGTATAAATGCATAACCAAGTAAATATCTACAACTGACAGTAAACACATAAGCTCAATTCGAAGGAAAAAGAAAAAAAAGAACTCAAATCAACCATCAAAACCACCAAAATTATGTCAATGAAGGTTACATTAATTTTACTTTTTTTTTTACTAAACAACTAGTAATTTAAACTATATTGAATTATCCTTTAAAATATGTCTATAATTAATATATAGAAAGAGACACATTGTGGAATCAAAGATGCTATAATTTCATTTATAGTCCTATATATTTACACATTGAAAGCCAAATTGATTTCTTGTTCGAAAAAATGAAATCAAGCTAGCAGCTCAAAGGGAGGCCAACCAATAAACAAGCTCTAATTGATTGACTAAATTGTAATCATTAGTTCAAAATTCTAAAGATCATTCAACTGAAATTATATTTTGAATATAAAGTGAATGTTTCCCAGCATTCTATCACATCTAGACATTCTAAAAATATAATAAAAAGGATATTTATTGTGAAAAGATAATTAATCTAAAAAAATGAATATTATTTTAGCATATGGTTGTACTTCATGTCCACAACATAAATATAGATAAAGAGTATAAAGCTTTCAAAAATACATAAGAGATTTGAATCCATACAGACATAAAATCTAATATCTTACCAATCAAAATTTCAAATTCAAGCACAAATTTAAACTTTAATTAATGCCAAAGATATTAAAGCTAACATCTTAAATTACAAGGAATAAAGGTGTTGGAAAAAATAGGATGTCCTTACATTACAAGGATTTGCAGTTGTTACGTGATCACAAGTAGTCTCCATGTGGTGCAAACAGAAGGAATTTTTTTTGTTGTGGTAAAACAACATTTGTGATTTTTTTTTTTTTTTTTTTAAATTCACTTACTTAAAAAAATATCTACAATAAGGACAAAGAGATTAGCACATAACATATCTAAATGTGTAAAGAGAAATAAAATAAAATAACCTTAATTCCTAACCTATAATCAAAGGTTTCATTTTTGCTCGACCTAGAATCATTTACTCAGAAAAAAGATGTTCCATTCCACAACACAAAACACAAATACACTAAGAGCATTTGATTTACTATTGATAATATATATAAATACACATACATACATACTTGAAAGCTTGAAGGGTCGAATTCTTCGGGCTTGGGAAAATAATTGGTGTTGTAATGAATGTTTTTGAAGAGGGTAAACTTTTCAGCTTTTGGAATCAAATATGCTACACATAGATGTAATTAATTAATTAAATTGGAATAAATCAATGGATGAATTAATAGTATTTCTAAATATAAATAAAAAAATAGGTAGATAGTGATTGAATGAATATTTATCTAGACAGACAATTGAATTGGTCGTCCTGCACAACCCCCTTGAAAGTGAAGGACAAAATAGAGGTTCCTCTGAGTGTCTCCTCAATGTTCCATTAGAGATATATCACATGCACAAAAAAAAAAAAAAAAAAAAGAGTCATGGATCTAAACCTTGTTGGAAAGAAACTGATGTGAACTTGTGAAGAGGACAAATAACTAGCATGTCCACATCCTAAACAACAAGATAAATGAACGCAGGATTTTTACGTGGAAACCTTCTCAATGTGAGAAGTAATAAATGAACGCAAGATTTTTACGTCGAAACCTTCTCAATGTGAGAAGTAAAACAAAAAGACCGTAGTCCAAAAAAAATTCACTAATCTCACTTTTTGGGTTACAACATCCTAAACAGTGCACAAGAGACAATACACTGAGATTACAAGGCCAAACACTAAGCCTAAACCTCCAAACCACCAAGAGAGCACAATACACAATCAAAACATAAGCAGTAGAGACACAACCATATACTTCTGATTCCGGCAACCAAATACAAATTATACCATAAAAACCAAAACTTTAGAAGTTAGGATTATGCCTACCAAATTTAAAAGATTCATCGGAGAAGACTCAACCATGAGATTTAACGAAAAATCAAATATCCGCAGTCAAGAATCCTGCAGAGTACAACTTTGATAAAACATTCATTTTTCCGAATTTGACCATCTAAATCAAAATCCCACTGATCAGACAATGAATGATCCTCCGATCGATCGTTTGATCAGAGCCCTGCGTGAAACAAAGTTTTTTCTCCCTCTCATCTCTTGTTAATTTGGATTGTCTCTCTATAGTGTAATTTCTATCCAAATCGCTTTTTTTTTTTTTTTTTTTTTTTTTTTTTTTTTAATTTTTGTAATGATAAACTTAGTTCAATATTTGAGTAAATCAAATCATAACAATACTTACCAAAATTATTTTTTCTCACTTAAGAGGAAAACCCAACAATCCTAACAAATGAGAGAAAAGAAAGAGGAATAAGGTATAGTGCAATTCCACCACAAAAATGGAGTTTGTAAAGTTCAAATTTAATTAAGAGTACACTAAATGAAAAACACATTTCAAGTAACTTTAAATCAACTTAAAACAGTTACAAATTGTTAAAATACCTTCACATTCCTCCAGATAGCGCAACTGTTGTTATTCTTCTTTTGTCCGTCATCTCAGAGACGACGATTCTGGTAGTCACAGGGGAGAATGGAGTGGGCAGTGAAGAACTCAAATATAAGTGTTGGCAGAAGAGGGTTGTAATGTATATCATAAACAATTTCATTATAGTCATTACCCAAAACATTTTATTTTTTTTATTTTTTTATTTCTCTTTCATTTTCCTTTTTTTTTAAAAATGAAAAAAGTAACTTTTTTTTTTGAAAAAATATATGTTCATTAACAGTATTTTTTATTACGGTGATGAGTACATAACAATATTTTTTTCTTACGACTATCTCGTAATTTTTTTTAATTGTAATGATTAAATTTTGTTACAAAATAATTATTTTTGACCCAAAATACATTTTTTACCACAAAAAATTCTGCACCTAAAAATATTATTTGTCACGGAAAATTGTAGCTGACATCATGTTGCTACAAATA